GAAAAACCTTGGTGCTTGGTGCCTGATGTGACTTACTCCTGGCTTCTGGTCCTCATTCACATGCCAAAATAGAGATTGTAAGGTCTAATATCCAATTCAAATTCAAATAAAAACCTTTGTTAAAACTCTGCTAAAAAGCTCTAGGTTGGCAGCGGAAAGGGAAGTCATGACACGATATCCAGCATGTATTAATTACACATTAGGGAGATTTCATTCCATCAAAATTCTATGTCCTCATTCTTGGATAAAAAATGGTAACTTATCTCCTCAAACTATTTCTCCTCAGTCATAAAACTGACTCTATGGCTCCTGGCAGGTTTTCAATAAAATTACAAGGCTATATCCTCCTTTAACAAACACCAACATATTCCTCTCTCTGTTCTAATTAATATCTGCCTTTTGCACTGCCTCAGTTGTAGTTAATGTAACGAAATTTGGAAAGATACCAAAGTACAGGAGAGCAGTCTTAATTCAAACCAATCCTGTAATTGTATGGGTGATCCTGCCCAATCTTATCTGATACTGCTGTTACAGTTATCTTTCCATTAAGTTCGCAAATGCTCTATGGGATTTATTTCTAGAGATTCTAAAAAATCTTTTGATTTCTAGAGGTTAGTGCTATACAGCATTATTCTGGGTTTCAAGTGCAAGGATAAATTTTGTGACATTTTTACAGAAATTAGTATAGACCAAATCTAAGATTGGACTTTGGTCTATAAAAAGGCAAAACAAAACAACAACAAAAAAGTGCTATAACAGATTGGGCCAGGGAGAAGGAGGCTGTTTTATAAAGGTCAATTTTTAAACCCCTCCTACAGAACATGATCTATGCAAAATATATCCACAATATATTCCAAAGCATAATGTCACCGGATAAACCTAAGGAGTGGAACATATGGGGGAATATGAAAAAGAAGGTATTAAAGTCTGAAAACAAGCAGGTTGGTAAGCTCATTAGCTGGGGTGGAATTTTAAAATCTTCACGTGAACGAATATATAAATCAAAATATACACATGCATTCACAGTCATGCGCACTGTACAGTCACACATGGCACAGTCTTAAACTGTCATATTATAATCTTCCACTCGGGAACAGTGAAATAACATTCTCTTTCTAAATGTAAAGGCGCCCTCTGGTGGTCAATATGGGGTATCGGCATGCTCTAGTTACACGAGGGAGAGAGAAAACACAAGCGAAACTGGGAGTTTATGTGGAACCCTGAGTCAAAGTAAGTTTATTCGAAATACAATAAATTTTATTTAGCTTTACTATTTTATTTAATTTTATATTGTTATAAATCATCAATCCCTAAAATAGTATAATAAAGAAATATTTTGATGTAAAATAATAGCTCACATGTGACAAAATAGTAGAAACTAAAAATGACTATATGACCAATTCTATAAAACTAAAATTCTAGATAACTGAATATTTTCTATAATTAAATTACTTTTAATAGAAGAAAATGAGGGCTTTTTGTCCCGCTATTGTTTTCTAAGGAAGTTTGAGTTAGAGAAACACGAAGTTTCCCAATACTTTCCTGTGAAAAGCTCTCCAGTGCCTTCAGAAAGCAGAACTGTAATATCCACCATAAAATCCTTCTACTAATAATCTGGGAACTATTCAAATAGTCTTTAGAAATTATTGTGTTAACTTGGAAAAAAAGGTAAAATAAGGAGAAAAATACCTTTTTGTTGTATTTTAATTATTAACCACTTTTTAATGAGAAGCAATTGGGAGGAGGAATAAAGAAGAAATATCAGCCCCCAAGGTGAAGACATCATGAAATCATTCTCCAGAAATATCCACTAGAGAATTCTGATACATAACCCCTAGGGTAAAGGAGAGATGTGATTAAAATTGTTGTTTAAGGTGAGCAGCTCTTACTACTGGTAGTGTGTCTTATCCACCAGTTAAATTGAGAAATAAAAAGGGCTACGAAACAAATAAATATTTGAATTCAAACTATAAATAATTAACATTTGTTGATACCAAGACTATTATGCACTGAAAAATAAATTTTAGAATCTCTTTCCGAAATAGAAATTAGAGATTTCATTTAAAATTAGAAATAATTTGAGTCAGTTTTTCTTTCTTCATGTGAAAATTCCTACATATAGAATATGTGCAATTTAAGTAGCAAGTTTCTTTCTATGCCACTTTGGTAACTGCATTTAAAACTGTATTTGAAATCTTTATCCAATATATTAGAATTCAAAATATACATTATACACTATCAATATCAATAAGAGATACAAAAGAGAATTATGTGAAAGCATATTAAAGACAATGGAATGCCTCCACACGTATTTTGATCATTCTGTCACAGAATGCCAACATACTCAAAATACTTCTACATTTTATTCTACATTTTAAATTTTGCAGCAAAAACTTCAATCATAACTCCAATAATATCTTTGGACAAATAGCACTTTATAAGTTATTTATACTCATAATTCTTGGTTTGGAAAAGCAATGAGAAAGTGGACAGGCCCTTGGTGCAACCCAGAGCATCTATCAGCAGTGATGTCTAAGGTCTAAGGCAAAGGCACTGCATTTTCCTAAATAAGTCCCCTTTCATTATTTCTCTGGAGAGGGCCAGAATGGATTGGACTAACCTGCTCCCAAATCCACAGAAGTCAACAGCACAGAAATCTCACAGACTGGAAGGTGGGTAGTCTGTCAATTCCATGTGTTCTCAGCTGGCTGAGCAGCTTTCTGTACACATGTGCACTCACTCTCACACACACACACACAGACACACACACATACACACATACACACACACACACACACACACACGGTCATACCACTTACTACATTGCTGTTAAGTAGCACTTACTGGGCAGCTAAAGAGTGACTGCTATTTGGTGGACACACTCATCACTTGAAAGTTATGTGGGGGAAGAAGCTACTTCTGTTATGTCGCCTCCCCCCAAGTGACCCCCCACTTCATGTACAGTGTTGAACAGCAAATGCCTAGCATGTGACAAGAGTTTGAAAACCATTTGAAATTAAAGTAGTGAACAGACCCCAAGAGGGAAAAAAAAATCCTCTTTCCCCTAAGGCCATTATTAAGAAAGGTGGGACCCCCCACAAAACTTAGAAATCAAAATCTACATTTCAACAGCTTCTCCAGCTGTAAGCACATTAAAGCTTCAGAAGCATTTAATTAAGAAAAACAAATACTTTAAGCCTGGCTAAAACAAATAGACTATAAAAAATGACAAAACCAGTCAAAAGACTAAAAATAGCCTAACTCAAAAATTGCTAAGTCATTAGTAACAACAACAAGAACTTGTAAAAATGTTTTTCTTAGAAATCAAAAAGTTTAAATTGAAGCAACAAAATAGCAAATTGGTAAAGTGTGAAAACAATATGATCCACTTGTGCATTAGAGACCTTGGGACAATAGACACTGTCCTATACAGTTTTTAGGACACATAAATTGATACAAGTTCCTGGAGTGAAAATGGACATTGCTTCAAATGTCTTAAAATTGTAGAAGTCATTTGACCTAGAAATTCCAATTACATCCTATCTTTTTCTGAGACAAAATACAAAGGGGGGAATTATAGCGTAATTCACCAAGTCATGTATTTCACAAATAATAGAATATAGTGAATTTTCATTATTCATAGAAGTTGGAGATATTATAAATGTTTGGCTAATTAATTATAATGCATCCAAAGAAAGGAACTATTACTCAATCATGAAAAACCATGCAGTAGAAGAATATCTAATAAACATGAGAGATATTCTATTATAACCAGGTATGTAAAAAGACCAGAAAGAGAGACACCCAAATGTTAAGAGTAATATATCTAGATGATGAGAGTCTGGGTGACTTTTTCTTGTACATTTCTATACTTCCCAAGTTTCTTGCAATGCAATGTAAAAAGTAGTAAACTTTGCAGTGGTCTGCTAAAGTCAGCTTATATTGGCCCACAAGAACCAACTGTTAAATTTTTGGCTGTTGTTAAACACATTCACTAAAGTAATCAAATCATGTTAACTAAAAGTTCAATAAATTATATCAAAATAAAGGTAAGGAATACTTAAAAACCATCACTTCCTAATCATTTTACTAGATTTTGCTCTTATATATGATGAGTCTTTATTTATATTGGTTGATCTGCAGGGTGGAAATGCTGTTTAATGGTGAGTTACTGTGCATCTCTTCCCTAATTCTGTGTTCAGTGACATTATATTAATAGTGTGATATCAGTTTTACTGGGAGTATTTACACTGTGGAGATTGGCAAATGCAATAAATCAGGACTTTTTTCTTTTCCCCTGAAGGATTACTTGTTAAATATTCAACAACACCCAAACGATTTCCTGTGAAAACAGAATGTGACCATTTGCAGAGGAAGAGGAGGGGAAAGAATCTCCTATTATGGGAGAATTAGGATAAATAACTTTTCATTATCTCATATCAAAATGGTAGACATGGTGGTACCTAGTAATCACACCAACTAGTTACTAGAGTTCAAGTCAACCTCAGTCTCTAACCTTTCACATCACCTCTCATAGTCCTTTCTACAGCTTATGATTTAATTTATAACTCAGCAGTACCTCTCTGAGACACTCCAGTCTGTAAAATAGGGTAAAGGGGAATGACCTTACAGTATTTAATTTTCAGAACTTTTACTTTGACAACTCAAACTAATTAGTGTTTCTGAAAGCACTTTCAAAGCCATGGAATATCAGGCATGTTTATGATACTTACAAGAGCCATTGATAACTTATACAGCAATATCAGAACCAATGTGTTCATATTCATAACATATTAATATTGTATCAGTTCTAAAAACACTTTTAGTGAGAGAATTATTTTAATATAATTTCCTCTAGAAATATTACTTTAATAAAAATGCCCACTAAATCCCAAAGCCCAAATTTTCTCCCTGTTTAACAGACCTTCATGTCATCAAGCACCAACTGTCTTTTCTGCAAGTAGTAATAAGAGAATGTAAAGTGTATCTGTCCCAAGTACCTAGAGCTATAGAAGAATTTGCAAGAGATGATTCCAATGAGTTATGCTCCGTGTACAGGTTTTCTTCCTCTGGACTTGGCTGATCTATGGCCAAAACAGGTTGCTCTTTGACTTCTAGACCATCTTCGGGTGATAAATTCTTAGTCTCTATGAATATAAACAAAAATGCAATGCAAGTTTTTATACTATACATAACTGTTCTCAGTATTTTTAAAAATGAAATGAGGATTCTTAATATTTACTTGAAAATAGTAATTTTTCAAATTATAGTTTTGGGGGTTACACGTTTACCTCTCCTTATGTGCACTTTACAATTCTAAATACAATGCAAATTTTTACACAATATAAACAGCTGTTATTGTTATCTTGTCCCTAGTAGAGATTTGCCTGAATACACTTCAGTACTTTGACATTTTGAAAGGCTTGTAACATGTTTTTCGTTATGACACAATATTTTTATTTTCAATGAACACAGTAGGTAATTCTTTTGTAATATGCTAAATTTCTTCTAAAAGGACAACATAGTAAGTATTATGTTAATCACAAGAAAAGTAAGATGATTTCCTATCTGACCATCACTTTTCTGAAGCAAGTCAGTTATTCAGTGATACAAAATTACATTTAAGGCTGAATTAATGGAAATGCAAATGTGCTAGTAGCTTTTCTTTAGCTTGTGCTCTTGCCATTTTGTTCCTTTGCTGTGAGTTCTACATGAGATGTGCATATGCTTTAATGTCAGCCTAAATTCAAGTAATCTGAATTTTTGTAGGTCTTTTTTTTTCAATTCAATAAAATATTCTATATCTTTCTTTTCTCCTTCCCTCCATTTTTTTCCAACGATTCTTCCTTCAACCACACATGTATTGAGTGTTTTATTAAAGGCCTCTGTGGGCTACAGAGAAAAACTAGAGTTTTTGTTCTTCTGAAGCTATAATCTGTCAGAGAAGACTGATGTCTGAAAGTATTGCTTTGGATTAACCCTCAGAGGTAACAGGAGGAACATTTATCCTGTACATGGACAATTTCCTGAAGAAAACTTGTGACTTTGGACCTTGTCTTTGGCCAGACATCTTAACAATGTGTACAGCTACCTGATAAGTACATCTGGGGTTTATAATCATAATTGACTATTTTGTGCTTCTCATATAAGGAATTAACTCAGTTGTTTAATTCTCAAAATCATCCTGGGTAACAATATTATCATTCAAGGGGAGTGAACTGAGGCACAGAGCACATGAGTGCCTGGCCAAAGCCTCACATCCAGGGACGTGAAGGAGTCAGCAGCGTGCAGTAGGAGCAGGATCCTGCCCTGAGGCTCCTGTATTAGTCAATTTGGCCACCCTAACAAACTATCACACACTGAGTGGCAGAAGCAACATAAATTTATTTTCTTACAATGTCAGCAGGTTTGGTATCTGGTGAAAACTTCACTCTTAAGTGTCAGAAGGTGACCTTATTTTGTCCTCAAATGGTGGAAAGTGACAAAGATTGTTCTTCCTCTCCTTGTAAGGCCACAGTCTTATCAGATGAGGACCCATCTTCCAACGTTATTTAACCTGAATGACCTCCCAACACTCTATTGCCATGTACAGACACATAGGGGAGTTACAGCTTCAACATATGAATTTTCTGGGGATATAATATAGTTCATTGTAGCTCCTAACTACAAGTATAATCACAACTAAATTTGTTCTGGTCATAAGGTCTGCCAGAAAATTTCTAGATTCTCATAATAAGGTATTCTGTTCTACAAACAATGCTTACATCTCTGACTACCCTGACTGGATTTTCTGAGGAAAAGTAAAGTCCTACTTCTTTAGTATAAGTTGGGCAGGAGCAACATAATGGATGGCAGAGAGAGGTGGTAGGAGAGTATAAGAATGCTGGTCCCACACAGGGACTGGCATTTCCCCTTCAGCCCTCAAAAGAAGCTTAGAGACCCACATCTGCTCCACTCTCTGCCCTCATATGAACTCATGTATCTGAGTCTATCTCACTATGGTCTAAAGAGGGAGATCCCCAACTGTGAAAGGACCCTACCTGGGACCAGGAAGAGAGAAAAGGGTAATGGATGGTTAAGCATTTTTCTCCCTTTTCACAAGATCTTTCACTCCTTTATAAAGTACTTGACCTTGGCCAGACAGTAACTGTGTGGACCGAGAGAGTTTGGATAAACTAGTCCCAAATCTGTTTGGAAACAGATACTGGAAGACCTAGTCGCAATACAAAGTACAGCATATAGTTGGGTGTATGCGATGGGTGTATGTGATGATATGGGTTACAATACAGTATTGCATGATATTTATTATATATGCACTTCATGGATTTCTTTTGTTTAAAGAATTATAATTTGATAAATCTCAAATTTCTGAAAAGGCACTGTGTAAAGTAGAATTTCAAAACATCTTAGCAAGAAATATTGCCAGGCATGTGGTTCATGTAAGGAACTTGGAGCAGATCTTCTAAACTCTCTCCTAAACAAGTAAGTCACTGTATGCAACAGTAAAATGGGCAGGTGCCACTAATTTGAATGAGGGATAAGATGAGGTCTTTTGAAATTCAAGAGTCAGTCATTTCTAATATAGATACACTGAAGCCAAAATTTCCTAGCGCCTAGAACAGTGTCTGGCACATCACTGGCACTCATTAAATGTTAACCAAATTACTGAATGGATTGCATGAATAGAAGTAAAATAAGCTAAAATGAGTATAATTCATTTAAATCATTTGTTATCAATTTCTTCCAATGAATTTGTCTCTATTCAAAATTAAAATGATCTTGATAAAAATTTCTGGCTATCACCTTGTTTCTTAAATAGGTATGGGTAGAGGAAAGAGTGTTAAGTAGGAGTGAACTGCTAACTAGGACTCAACTAGGAGTCTAGCCCAGTTTGCTGAGTTTTGTGGTCTTTGGCACATTCTTTTCCTCATTTATACAGGAGATAAAATAGGTGCTCTCTCAGACCCCTTTCAGCTTTGAAATGTTCATTCTAAGTATCTTAGCTTTTGGCATTGTATCTCTAGCCTCATTAAACTCTCAATTACCAAGAACAATGTACACATTCTTGTTAGCGAAATCAGAATTACCTGTACTGCTTTCAGAGCAGTTTGTGCCTGTTAACTCGTCCGCAAGTTGGTGGTTTTCTGTTTCCCTCAGAACATTGAGAAAAGTAGAAAACCAGTTTTCTTTCTGCACGATCCTTCTCAGTAGCTCTCTGACAGCTGATTCTTTTGCATGATTTTTGTATTCAGTACTAATCTGTTTAAAGAAAAAAAGTAGAATTAAAGAAGATCAAACATCTAGTAAATAAGTTTGAAAAGGAACTAGTCTTTTGAAAAATTGAGCAATTAAGCATATATACATACATATAAACAAAAGTCTGTATTCAAACATTAAAGAAAACAATACAACTTGTAGCAACTCTAGATTCTAGGGAGAAAAAATCTTTGGGTCATGCACCCTTTTAAATATGCACCTTTTTTTTTTAGCCACTGAGCTATTTAAGCCTGATGTTTAAGAAATAAATGTTTTACCTCAGTCATTCTGAATAAGGAGTGTCTGTAATCGCTAGCCACATTGTGTCCATTTGTAACAGCCATTTCTTTTCAATTCATTTCATATCTGACTCCACATTCTTCCCTATTATTATCATGAAGTAATTTATTATTGTATGTTTATATTCTTACTCTTTAATATTTGCAATATATATTGCTATACTATTTTTCTCATCTTTGTGTTTCACTAATGTCATGAGGTATTTATTTTGATATCTATTCCTGTTTTAAAGTTTGGGGCAGAATTATTTCTATACCTATTCATCACAATCTTTAGCTTTAATTTTATTTCCCTTTATTAATCCAGAAAATTCCATTAAATGTGGATCACAATAATAGGGATTACTGTCAAAGTGACTGTAAGGTAAAGAAAATGTCAGGCTTTTCTGCCCTTCCGCCATCAGGATCGATGATGGAGCCTTGTCCTGAATGCATGCCTGATGGCGGGCACCTGGAATAGGGTGTGGGCATAGGTAGATGCGATTCAGCTGAGCTAAGATTGTGCTTTTAAGGGTGGCGTCACGGGGACGCCAGCAGCAGCAGCAGCAGGAGCAGCAGTAGCAGCAGTAGAAGCCGAAGCAGAAGCTGAAGGAGCAGCAGTAGAAGCAGCAGAACGAACGCCAGAGAGCCCAGATAGAGTAAAGATTTGCTGGGGGCTGGGAGGCCTGCCAGCCTCCCAGCCCCCCAGCCAGCACCCCTGCCTGCCATATGCCTGGTGAACCCCAAACAAAAAACCTGCAAAACTACTGAGGACTCTGACTCCTCCTTTACCCGGTCTGCATGGGATCAGAAAACCTGCACCGTGTCCAGTCCTGCCCCCTACAGTGACTTTCCCCAGTTCTTAATACAGCACCAAACATTTGAAGAAAAGATGAACGCAAGCCATATTTGGCTCAGAAAGCAATTAGACGGGACAGTTATCTCCTGGCCTCAGTTTCTATACATGTAAAATGAGGCAACTGAAACACAATTTCAAGGTTTCTCCATTCTAGTGGGAGGTCAGAGTCAACTGGGGAGCTTTGATATCTTGAATCTCCCCAAAAGATTCTGATTCATCTTGCTTGGGAAACCAGAAAGATTTTTAAAGTATTTCAGGGTTCTACTCAGCAGTTTAGATGAGAAATTCTGACTTAGTTACTGGGGTCTCCTTGGTGACACAGGGTTTAAAGTCTCAGAGCTTTAAAGCTATATCCAGCCACGGCAGCCTGAGTTTGATGCCCGGCCAGGGAGCTAACCCACATGGCACAGCAGGCCTCTCCTGTCTTGCCTGCTGCTCCTCTCAGCAGTGTATTTCATTGGATCCACCTGTGCTGCTCCCCTTTCTGTCTCTGGTGAATCCTCTCATCCCCACATCTCTGGCCTACACCCCAGTTCTTGTATGCATAAATAAATTAAAATAAATCTTACCCAAAAAAAGAAATTCTGACTTAGTTACTTTTCAACCTCCACTCATCCTCAAAATGGACAATATGTGTAATTTGGATTGCTTAGCTAGAGTAGGTATTTCTTACAAAATGTATATAGTTTTGTAAGTATATCCCATAACATTTTATTTTATTTTTATTTTATAGAGGCATGTTTTATTTATTTATTTATTTGTTTGTTTGTTTTGTTTATACAAGCACTGGGTACAGTCAGAAGCGTGGGAGGGTGAGAGAATTCACCAGAGCCAGAGTGGGGAGCAGAGCAGGCAGAAGGACCAAAGTACACTGCTGAGGGGAGCAGCGGGCGGCAGGAGAGGTCTACGCGCCATGTGGGACCCTCCTCCGGTGGCCGGGGAGCAGCCGGGGATCGAACCGGCACCGCAGAGGCCGCGGGCAGCTTCACAACCCAGCGCTCAACCGCTGCGCCACCGGGGAGGCCCTATCCCGTAACATTTTAATATCAAGAATGTATTTGCATTTTTTGAGACAATATCTGGCACAAAATAACTACTATAAGTGAAGTCATTCTGTTATTTTTATGAATGGGGAAAGCAGTGACCTTTACAAATATTTTGCCAAGTGAACACTATTTAGCATAAAAGTGTGCAGCCTGAATTTCTACCTGAAGGATATTTTAATTCTATTAGCTAAAAGTTAGTAATATTATCAAGTCTTTGAATATCCCTGAAGAAGATACCAATATTAACTCATTTTACAGATCAGAAATCCAAACACAAAAAGGCCCCATTATCTCTCAAAGACCAATAAATGGCAGAGGCAGAATCTGATCCCAGACAATATGGCTTCAGAGGCCTTCCTAAACAATAATATAAGTAATTATCTCCAATATTAATTTCATTTTCTGGCAAGAAGTGGTTAAAATCACTACTTGAACCTTCCCAGTCTGAGGGCTAGAAATACATCAATTCCTTTTGAAGCGACCTACATAATTTTTTTTTTGTAACTTGTCTCCTAAAACCTAGTAAGATATTATATTTTAGTAGATATATAAACTTAATTAGTGAAGTTCTTGCAAGGTGATTATTTAGACTTAAGACTGCAATAGGGCATCATAATGATTCTCATTCATGTTCTTCTCCCACTTAACATTTTCTTTGAATCTGAAGTGAAATATGTCCATGGACACACTGTGAATAATTTATGGAATAAAAGTAAATATAAATTTGTAAGTAATATAATTCAGTGTTTTAATATCTTAAATTATTTTATGCAAGTTTTTCTTTCCAACAGAACTCAGTGAAGAAATCAATGACATTTCCATTAAGGACTGGCTTGCCAACACAATTGTATAATTTGATAAAAATGTTTTCTTCCCCTCATCATAACTTTAGATGTAACAGTGGATAGTGAATACAGCAGAGCTCGGCTCTCAGTACAGTAGTTTACAGTAGTTTTCACCATGGGGGATCTTACAGTAGTAAGATCCTAGGTGGATGCCTAAAACCTCATGTAGTAGCAAAGCCCACCTATGCCAATAAAGTTTAATTTATAAATTAGGCACAGTAAGAGATATAGGTGACTAATAAATTAGAACAACTATAGCAATATATTGTAATAAAAGTTATGAGAATGTGGTCTCTCTTCCTCTCTGTCTGGAGGACTAATGCACCAATAAATCAGGAAGTTATGTTAAAATAAAGAATTTTAAAGAACTAGTTTCCTCAGAAAATTTAATATTCTTGATGAGTATGTTTTGACAAATTGACATAACTAATTTCTTATCAGTGCTTTCTCTTACTACTAAAATTCTTATCCATCCCTAAATTACCTGAAAATATAATGAGCTAGAGGATACAGGGAAACTTGAACTAGAGGTGCTCAACCTTATGTAGGGAAAACTGGACTCAGTTTCTATCTGGTATCTCTGATTCTTTTATGTAAACGAAAGGTGTATAGGAATTTCTAAGACTACAGATGTTTAAAGCTTTGAACTGGCCAGGGCTGAATCAGATACATCTCTTCAGCTGTTCCGATTGGTATTAAAACACAATAAAAATGTCTATATTATTACTTTTAAAGGACATGGATATACCAATATGTCACTAAGCATCCTGAAACAGGAGGAGGTCAGAGCAGGGTACTATTAGGGATCCTTCTACTACAATGATCTATAAGGCAACTCATATGTATTGCTGAGTCTTTAATGTTTACTTAATGCCTCACACACAATAGATATATTTAACTATTTGTTGGAAGAGAAAAAGTTGATTAACTCTGCAACATTAGTTCCATGAAAGCAATGGCAGTATCTGCAATATTCTCCACTCTTCATTACTAACACAGTTTGGTACAAAGGTGCCACTGTATAAATTTAAAACAAATGAATGAATGACTCAATCAAGTAAGTTTCTTTGCATAGTTCCTGGACACAAAACTATCTGGGATTATTTTCAGAAACTCTGATTGATATATGAAGGCAGGGTTTGGGATGTGGAAACTGCAATCCTAAACTAAAACAACAGCACAAATAGAAAATATCTGTGGAAAACAGAAAAAGAATAAAAAGATCATTTTAGAAGTCCTGACTACTTAGTAAACACTAATTTAAACTGAAAGGCAATCCATTATATCATCGGTTCTCATCTCTTGTTCCAGAAAATGTTTTCAAAATAAATTCAATCAATCTACCAATATATATAAAGGACCAGCCCTCTCTCTAGTCTTGGCTAGTTTATGGAAGCTTAAAGTTGAAAGGCATAGTTTCTCCTTAAAATCACAGTTAAATCCAAGAACATTAACATAGATCTCAATTTCAACATGGAATATTTACCTAAATCCCTGAAACTTTAAATTCATAAGAAAATGAAACCAAATGAAAGATAACAAAAGTTATCATCATATCAAAATGATTATTATTTATAAAGTTTTCATAAACGCTTTATCTCAAACATGTTAATTAAAATACTGTGATTGAGAGGAGAAATTATTATGCCCACTTTCATGGGTAAACTTAAGATAACGTAACTTAAATATCTTGGTCCCAAATTATTTAACATATATAATGCATATATAGTAAGAAACAGAGATCTCAAATCCAGGCCTTCCCATTATAAATTCTCACTACATTGTATTGTTATAAGACAAACATCCATCTAGATTCCCACATCAATACAGATTCTTCTATATCAAATCTAGAGCTTCCTTCTTATCAACCACCCTCGCTTATTTTTGAGACCAATGATATATGTAAACTGATGTACAAAAATTATTGCAGAAATCACAGAGACTTGATACTTCCCTAGACAGTCTCAAATATATGGCTCCTCTATCTTTGGATCCTCCTTGGAAATATGAATCTGAGGGAGAGTTTGGGTTGCTTTGGCCTTAAATGCTACCAGTACACAAATGTCCGTTTACTCTATATCTTCTGTGTGTCAAATCCCTTGCATCCTATACTGTTAACTGCCTCCAAGCTTGCCAGAATCAAGAACTTGGATAAAATCTAACTGGCGGAAATTCAATCCAGGCAAGACAAAAGTGATGCTGATAGGCAGAAGTATTTAGAGTAAATAAGGAGAAGTGCTGTTTCGCTGGCAATCGGGACATCATACCCACCAAACATAAACAGCTTTGTGGTGTTACTGGACTCTGTTGCTTCTGGACTTCCTAACAGCTACTGTGGCTGGAAATGCCATCTTCCATCTCCAGCTGGCTTGAAGGCTGCATACTGTCTTCCAAATTAAGATTCTGCCACAGTGATGTACACATTTGTCATATCCAGCTGGACTACTATAATGCGTTCTAGCAGGTTCTCAATACACAAAACTACATAAACGTTACAGACAACAGTGTAAAGTAATTTACTTGTTGGGAAAACCAGTCATCAAAATGAGTTGCATGCTTGGGTCTTTGGACAGGCCTTATGGCTGCCAAATCTACAGCCAGGAACATTAACTTTAGTCACTAAAAACCAAGTCACATCACAGGCTGATGTGAGACCAATGCCCAGAAATGCATAATGAGGGCACAAACAATTGGTGAATCTAAAAGAAAGAGAGAAAGAAGCAAAATGTCAAGATCACAGCATGTTAGACAAAGTCTTTGGCTTTTAGTTATGGATGTATTTGTCTACATACCTTTCAAGATTAGATTTTTGACTTACAACCTTGAATAAATCATAGAGGTTAGCATTTTTTATATATCACAGTATATCTTCAATCATTGAAAAACAAGGAACAATAAAACATTACATTAAAATGTGAAGTCCCCTATAAAATTTACTGTCGAAATGCCATCTTAAAAAAATACTAATATGAAAAACTGCAACTGGTGACATATTTCCTCCATGACTTATGCCTAACTTTTTTCTCCTAGAGGATATCAAAATGTTCAGAAATGGGAAAAGAGGTGTGTGTGTGTGTGTGTGTGTATTCCCCATCTGGATTAAGATTAAATGGCATAATGTTTAATAGAGGCAGCCAGATAATAAATATTTTTAGGTTTGTGGGCTCTCCTGGCTCTGTTCAACTGTTCTTAAAACAGACAAGCAGTCATACTATGTAAATGAATGAGCATGGCTATGTTCCAATTAAACTTTCTTTATAAAGACTGAAAATTTAAAAATCTTAAAGCCATTCTTAATCCATGGATCTGCAAAACCAGTAGCAAACTGGAATTAGCCCCATGGGTCATGGTTTGCTTTTCTCTGGTGTAAAGAAATATATTAAAAAAGAAATAAAATTCCACACTATCAGACCTGAGTCCCTACCTCTGCTGTGGTCTTGCTAGGAGATCCTGGGCAAGTTATTTATCTAGCTTTAGGTTCCCTATCCATAAAACAGAGTTAACATTGAACACCTCAGTAGATTATTGCGGGTATGAGCTATGACCATAGATATTGTAAATGATAATAAATGTACACAGTAAGTGTTCAATAAACCTTACCTATTACTATACGTTATAATTGTGGCATTAACACCTGTTTAACTTATTTAGTGAAAAGATTACAAAAACAACTCTTTCGAGTTTAAATTTTCAAAATTATCACATGCCTAGTAGTCTCTTTTCGAAAAAAGAAAAAACCAGATTTACTCAAAGATGGCCAAGAAAATTTGGAACGAGGTAAAGAGTTAACAAACCGGAGTTGCAAAACCTGTCCAATGCTCAGCTCCATCAGAACTGACACCTACCCGATTTCTGTCTTCATCTGTCAGCAGATCCGACGCCACGCACTTATCCAGGACATCGCTGACCTCAAGTTTTTTCACCACAGCAGGCTGAAGGAGGTTCAGCAGTTCGAAACACTCATCATGAGCTTTCTCAAAGGATGGTGAGGGCAAGTCTGTGAGGTCAGGGTTCGCATAGCGCGCGGCCAGCGTGCTGCCAGATTGCCGGAGAGCTTCGACAAACACCCTTGTCCAGCCTGGGGGCCAGTCCCCTTTTTCCAAGGTTTTCAGAAGCAGTTCAACTCCCTCGGTGTTCCCACTGGCCTTGGCCTTGCTCTGAATCCGGTCCTTGACTTCAAAAGGCAAAAAGTTCAGGTAGTCCAGGGTGGACTCCAGCTTGATGTTCCTCTTCAATCGGGTCCTGAAGCATGAGAGAAGGTAGTGGAAACGCGCGTCTGTGGAACACTCACTCGACATCTTTCTTTCTCAGAGAAGGTGGGGGATTCTGCAAAGTAGACAACCGATGGCTGTTCTCTGCTCAACAGGTGAGAGTGAGAGGCTGCCGGCTTTCGTTAAAGTGCCAGGGGCTCGGAAGAAGCGCGAGGCTGCGCGCAGGATCCTTAGGCTGGCTCGCGGGGGCGCGCCCTCACCTGGGCAGGTGGGCCGGGAGCAGGAGGATGAGGGGCCAGGCCGGGAAAGCGCCACCACGGGGCTTTGAGTCTTTGGCGCCTGACCGGAGATCGGGGCGCCGCCGCAGCTGCACCCTGGGTGGAACTTTGAGTTCAGCTTTCCGCCAGCCAGTTTTTAATAGTTGGCCTGCCTTAGTTTCAGTTTCGTTTCTCTTCTCAGAAACTTTGTAAATAATCAGCTGAGGGGAGTGTCTGGTGGGGAGGAGTCAACGAGTCACCCTTTGTCAGTTTTCATAAGAGTTCTTTGATCAAGGGCACTGCGGGAAACAGAAAAGAAAAGTGAATTCTCTCTCTGACCGAGTAAGACTGCCTTGCTCCAGCAGTGCTCCTTCAGTGAGCATTTTGGCTTCCTTAGAGGGTTCTGCCCTCTTTCCTCCTGAGAAGTTAAGAATGAAACTTCCTTTGGAACTTTGGAAACTTCCTTTGGAAGTTTCATACTGGTCTATGGAAGTATATTAAATAAGAAATAAAACTTAATAAAACGTAAATAAGAAATGAAACTTCCTTTGGAACTTTGGAAACTTCTTTTGGAAGGTTTCATTCTTAACTTCCCAGGAGGAAAGTCCCCAGTCATGCGATTTCAGGCCCTCCACATTTTGCTGACAAAGGGATGGTGCAAGAAGACTGTGGGAAAAGAGTGATTTTCGAGGGAGAACCCTCTCAGGAAGCCAAAATGCTCACAGGAGGAGTATTGCTGGAGAAATGCAGTCTTACTCGGTCAGAGAGAGAATCCACTTTGATGGCGCTGGAAGGGATCATGCTCAGCGAAATAAGCCAGAAAGAAAATGAAAAATACCGGATGGTCTCACTCATAGCAGGAACTTAGAAAACCTAAATAAGGAACCAGGAAAAAGACTAATTGCAATAAAGTAAAAATCAAAACCAACAAGCAACCAGAGACACACTAGAGTGGGAGTTTGGGGGAGGAGAAGAGGGATTGGGGTCAGAATAAGGGGGGGGGGGAATTGTATGGGGAATATAACCAAAATGAAAATGCATACATTATGCAAAAATGAAAATGATGTAAGAACTATATAAAATAATTTATTAAAAAAATAAAATTAGGCCTCCCCGGTGGCGCAGCGGTTGAGCGCTGGGTTGCGAAGCTGCCCGCAGCCTCTGCAGCGCCGGTTCGATCCCCGGCTGCTCCCCGGCCACCGGAGGAGGGTCCCACATGGCGCGCAGACCTCTCCTGCTGCCCGCTGCTCCCCTCAGCAGTGTACTTCGGTCCTTCTGCCTGCTCTGCTCCCCGCTCTGGCTCTGGTGAATTCTCTCACCCTCCCGCGCTTCTGACTGTACCCAGTGCTTGTATAAATAATAAATAAATAAATCTTTAAATAAATTTAAAAAATTAAATTAAATTAAAAAAAGAAGAAAAAAGAAAAAAAAAAAAAAAGAATGAAACGTCCTGACCCTGACGACCCTAACGCCAACAGGGAGTTAGTTACCCAGGTTACTGAATGCAGACAGGCTCTGGTCTTACCAGAGGGGGAGAGACCCAGAGTGGGGTAGGGAATGGGGGAAGGGGAGATTGCAGGGGACATGTGGAGTGATGGAGCTAACCTCTTAGCTCTTTCCAGATATGTGATCTCAGATGCCATTTGGAGGGTCCAGGGAAAACTGGCATCTTTTTAAACTGTTTAAGAGAAATACAAAGTCTCTATTTACACTGGCATACGTCTCCATCTGAACACTTTATAGCACATCCTTTACCCAGGATGAAGTGACCTCTGTGCCTTTTCCCGTGGTTCCTCAAGAATGAATTTGTTCCTTTAGGAATTTGTGGATGAGTATGAAAAAGAGTGAGTAATAATAAACAGTAACTGGCTTTATGCACAGTTTGTAGTATTTATTTGGCTTTGACCAGGGCGTAGTGACAGAGGCAGAGGGACATTCACCACCAGTTCAGCTTAGGAGGAAGCCAAGAATAAAGGTTTCCTCTCTCCCAGTATGTAAGATCGCCATATCTTTTATTTATTTTAAAGATTTGTTTACTTTTATATAAGAGCTGGGGTACAGGCTAGAGTCGCAGGAGCGTGAGAGGATTCACCAGAGATAGAGCAGGGAGCAGGACAGGCAGATGACAGAAATACACTGCTGAGGGGAGCAGCGGGTGAGACAGGAGAGGTCTGGCACCCCATGTGGGAATCTCCCTGGCTGGCCGGGGATCGAACCGAGCTGCAGAGGCTGGCTGCGGACAGCTTCACAGCGCTGCGCTCTACCCGCTGCGCCACCAGGGAGGCCCTCGCTATATCTTTTAATACATAACTTTCCTTTAATAAAACAACACAAAATCCCCACAACTTATTTTTGATATAGTTGCCATTCTTTTCTTGGATTCAATACAGCAAGTTTTGGCTGAAGCCGCTAGGAACTTAATTAGTAACTAATGTACCAACTTGTAGTAAACATCAACATTTGTCTATGTCATAAGGGAAAAAAGACACCCACACTGAAAAATGGCAGCTTCATTTCAGTACAAAAGTCACATAAATATGAATCCTTTAGGTTGCTACTAGCTGAAGCATTTTGTAGCCCTGGGTGACCTTGGGTGGTAATACATATGTGTCATAATGAGAACCTCATGATCCAGAATTATATGGAAGATAGAAGGGTCATTTAGGTTATCAAGAAGATATATTTAGGAATAGTTATCCATTAGCAAAGCACATTCAATGACGTTTGGATGGTCCAGAAAGACCTGGCATAGTTTTGAATGGTTTAAGAGAACACAGTCTCAAGTATTTACTGCTCCCAAACAACATTTCCAACTGAACGCTTTAGAGCAAATTGTCTTATTTTCTAATTTTATTACAAGTAGCCACGCCTTTTTCTTCCCCAAGGGGTTGTAAGCTTCTTGAAGAAAGGATATGTTTATACACTAACCAGTACAACACTACAAATAATAGGCCCTTTCTTTGCCTTAACTTCACAGCTGGTATAATGTCAAACACACAGTGAAAGTCCATTGCAAATTTTTTATTATTAACTATTGAAGCAATATGGAATCTTGGCCTGATTTACACTATTCTTTTTCTATTTCCTCATGAAACATCACTATATCTTTTTTTAATTTTGGGAGCTGGTCTTGTAGCTAGGTAGAAGATAATCAGATTAGTGTTTCCAGTAGAAATATTCAAATTGTAAATTTTAGTTATTGGGTTTATAAAGACATCTTTTAGGTCTAGTACAAGAAATCTCTCCCTTTCACCCCCTCAAGTGCCAGCAAATTTCATTCAATGTATTAAAGCAAAACCAACAAACCAAACAACACTTTGTCCTCTGTTTCCCATACTGGAAACAAGAAGAGATTGCTGATTAATCATAAGGAAATAATGTGCATTTTCTTAGCACCAAAGAATTGCTGTCCTGATGAGAGAGGGTTAAAAGCAGAAATTTAAATGTTTGGTATTCGGATTATTTCATTCATTCAATGAATCATTTAAAAAATATTTGTTAAATAACTGCTATATGACCAATGCTATTCTAGTTGCAGTTAATAAAATGGAGCCAACATTTCCTACTTTCATGGTAGAGAGAAGATGCAATGTGCCAGGTTAGGATGAATGTGGACCATGATAAGATTAGATGTAGATAATAATGCTCATATAGTTTCACTAGTGGATTTTCTTCTAGACACACTCTCCAGCCCTTACCATTAGCATCACATAAGACCCATCAATAACAGGTCATCTCTAATATCAGCTATGATTCACTTTGCTGGACAAAAAGTGAGTGCTGAGGACTGAGCATGGGTAAGAGTGCCTGAGGGAAAATATAAGGAACGAGTTTTATAGAAATCTTGGAAGGACACTGGAGGAAGGAGGCTGAGAAAACAAAGACCAAGCCACAGTCTCTCACAATATATCCTTTTTCTTTATCCATAATTTTGCATGTTGACCTTGTTTATTTTTTGCATTTGTTTGAGTAAATATTTCTTCTGTCAAGTTTCATCTAATAACTTTCATTTTTAATCTTCCTACTTTCTTCTAAATGTAAGTTTCTGTTTTCTCTCTTCTTTGAATAAGCAATCTGCTCATCTGTATCTTTTCCTTTTTTCTAGACCAATATTTTCATTTCAAAACCAAAAGAAATCTCTGAGTCTCCATCAGTTTTAAAATTCTCCTTTTAGCCTTTGTTCTACAAGTAGTAATTCAGGAAGCTGTTATCCAACTTTTTTCATTTGCATTTTCTATGAAGTGATAAAAGTCATAGCTGTCACTACTTTGACAAATTAAACCTATAAGATTTGATGGTAGTAATGCCTATTCCAAAGAAACTGACAATGCATTTAATTTAATGAGGAAGTAATTTTTATTCTGTATCTGCTTTTAGTTACTAAGTTATATCAACAAGCAGACTAGTCTGTGTAACTTGAAAATGAGATTCCCTTAAGCAAGCTGTGTGGAGTTGTGGTTAAGCATAGAGACTCTGAGCACTGGTTATCAGGATTCACGTGTCAGCACTGCCTCTTAATTGCTGTGTCATCTTCATTCCTCACTTGTGAAATGAGAATTATACTAGTATCTTGTCATAAGGTTGTATGAAGGAGCACGCTTAACCCCTTGGCTTATCATGCCCTTTAAGTGACTGACAGCATTCTTGCACTGATAATGTTTAAGACATGGTGCTAGCTCTCACAGAATACTTGCAATGTATAGAAGAAATATATCAGTTAAGTACATGAGTAATATGTGGTAAGTAGTCACATGACTAAGTTTTTAGAAAGGATTGATTTTTGCAAGAAACTGAAGGGGGCTGATAGTTAAAAATGTTTATTGAAATGATACTGTTACAATTTTCGATTTTAAAAACCTAAGTGGATACAAAATAGAAAAAGAAACTCGGGATAAGCTTACTAGATCATAATACTCATTTCTTAAACAACTCAGTTGTGAAGTTCTTGTTTTAAGTATACAATGTAAAAGCTTTTATATGTTACAAAGTGTTGGCAAAGAAAAAATTAGGTGTCAGTGGAAAAATTTTCCAAACATCCATTTTTCCAAATGTTTCCCACATAGCTCAAGTCCATTCAAAAAGTTACTTGCACATTTATGCATTTTTTTTTAAACAGCACCTTTACCTCCAGGCATACATTTGCTGTGCTTTTGAAATTTTATTTTAAAATAATTGCTTAAGAGCAAACTAAGTCAAACTTAATTAGAGTGCCCTTCTCTTATCCTTAAATTCATATAGTTGACATTTAGCTGGCAGATACCTTGGGGTCAGATGTCTCAGCCTATGATTGAAGGTGGAT